TATATATATATATATATATTGAAATAGAAAGAGTGACTTGTAGATAATTATATAGATAAAATAGTCTAAAAGAATTGAAAAGAAATATACCCTTTATTATTAGTAGTATTAATGAAATACTTCTCGGTGGTCCATTGTTCTTCCTTGTCCTATTGTTTGTATGATTGCTATCATTAACATGGCCCATTATATTATTTCCTACAAATTAATTTGATTTGCACTAAGTCCATGATTAGCAAAACAAACATTTCATTCATCAACACATACACACACTAATCAACATTTCTTTCTAAATTTGCTTACAAGAAAGAGAATTGTGTTCTTTTTATTCTTCTTCTTCTTGATCAGTAATTATATGATAAAACAAGCACAAGCATAAACTAGACTAGAGCAAAAGCATTGAACCTAGCCTCAGGGACACATAGCAAGGGATGTGCCCTAGGAAGAGCCATTCCAGGTCCTTCTTCCATGTCAACCATTCCATTCCCATCTTCACCAACCTTCCATTCAAAACACTGAATCATTCCAGCTAGGGTTGTGGGAATAATCTGCAAAGCTAGTGAAGCTCCAGGGCAACTTCTCCTTCCAGCTCCAAATGACAAAAGTTCAAAATTTTGTCCCTTCAGGTCTAGTGGGCTTTGTCCCTCTTCATCAAGGAACCTCTCTGGCTTGAACTCAAGTGGGCTTTCCCAATGATTCGGGTCCCTACCAATGGCCCATATATTCACAAACACAGAGGCCCTTGCTGGAATGTCATACCCATTAATATTACAATTTTCAGTGGTTTGCCTCCCTATTAAAGGCCCAGTGGGGTGAAGCCTCATTGTTTCCTTCACTATGGATTGAACATAGGGAAGGTTTGGAATATCTGATTCCTCCACCAATCTAGTATTACCAACCACTGAATCAATCTCTTGTCTAGCTTTTAGCATAATATTTGGATGGTTGATTAGTTCAGCTAAACCCCATTCTATTGTAGTGGCTGATGTCTCAGTTCCAGCACCAAACATGTTCTGCAAATTACATATAACACCAAAAGCAAATTAATTGATTCTTATATATATCTAATTTCAAAAAGAGTTAAATTTTTATACAGCACTGGTAGTACTATATAAAAAAATTATACTTTTAATCAATCACCTATAACAATATATACTCCTTTTGTGTCCATATTTTGAAAGACATTTATTTTTATCTAATATTTTACTTCAATGATGTATTTCTTAAGAATGAAATAAGAAATATTATGTATACAAAAAAAAATAACTACTTTATTTTTTGACTACTAACACTACATATTTAATAATTACTCATATTTTTAGGGAGGTATTTAGTGTCTTTTTCACTGTTAGTACCTATAAACAAAGATTATCATTGATGTTATAACTCTAATTGCGATAAATTATTGGAATGACTTTTATCATAATTATTAAAAAAAAAATTAACAAAATCTGTATACATATTCGTTGCTGGTTAATGATAAGGAAATAAAAGATGTTTTTCCCCTTTGGACGAAATAATAAAGGAGTTGTTAATTACCATAATGAAGGCCTTGATATTTTCTCTGGTTAATCTAATCTCTGAACTTTCATCGTTGTAGATATCAAGTAGAACATCAAGCAAATCCCTCACTTCATCTCCATCACCACCCATTTCCTTTTTCCTCCTCCTTGCATCTTCATGTTCCTTCATGATCCTCTCCATTATAACATCATACCTACTTCTAACACTCTCAAGCTTTTTACCAAACCCTTGCAAGTCCAACTTCTTAACAAACCACAACATGTCTCCCAAGTTGAACTTGCCACCAAGCTCAGTCATCTCTTTCACCAACTCAATCAATTGGTGTCCCTCCCCTTCAACATCACAACACCTTCTTCTCAAAGCCATCCTCGTGATTATGTTATTTGTCAACATGCATAGCTCCTTGCCTATGTTCACCTCCTCTTTCAAACTAGCCTTTTGCATCATACTCTTCAAGAACAACCTCGTTTCCTCTTCTCTAATGGGAAGGTGCTGATGAAGCATGCGTCCACCAAGGAGTTCACTCATGCAAAGCCTTTTCATGAACCTCCAATAAGGTCCATAGGGTGCCAACACAAAATCTGAAGAATCGTACGTGATGTAGTCCACGTTGGTCCTTTTGGGTCGGTTAAGGAAACATGTTTCATGGGTTTTGAGGCATTGTCGCGCCATTTCGGGTGATGAAACAAGAACACAAGGTTTGGAACCGAACACGAGGTAGACCAAAGGGCCATAACGGGATGAGATGTTGTGAAATGCTTGGTGAGGGAGCTTGGTGAGGAGGTAGAGGTGCCCTAAAACAGGTAGGGCTCTAGGACTTGGTGGTAGGCGTGCCTTGATGCGAAACCTAGTGATGATTACACGTAACAAGAAGATTGAAGCAAGCCAAATGAGAAGGAAGACAAAATACTCACCAAAGTTAGCCATTAGTGATGAAAATTAAGTATGAACTATGAACAACAAAACTATATTATGCTATTCTTATATAGCATAATTCTTTCGCAAACTGTGTAATTTTGATGTAGAATTTAAATCAAATCAGGTTCCCATCACTATTAAATAAATATATCTTGTATATATTAATTAGTTGCATACGCTATACTAATAGTTGATATATTAGTAATATAATGCGTCGATTGTATATATCAATTTCATATATCAATGTACAATTAGAATTTTATACTAGAAGTTTGATTTTGCTAAACAAAATCTATACTAATAATGCATCTGGGGATAACAATCTAAGGATGAACAGTTAGTTTTATTAGTAGTACCGCATATTTTAAGAATTTAACCTACCAAATAATCACTACTAGAAAAGTGTCATTTTCTTGCAAATTTTCTTGTAAAAAAATATTCGCAAAAATTTATTGCGAATTTTCTTGCAAAAATATATTTGCAAAAAAATTTTGTGAATTTTTCTGCAAAAAAATATTTGCAGAAATTTTTTGTGAAAAATAATTTACAGATATTTCTTACAAATTTTGCTACAATTTTAATAATCATAGAAATTTTTTTCCATGGTAAAAATTTGCAGAAAATATTGTAAGAATTTTATTTTGTTTCTTGCAGATTTTCTTGCAAAAATAAATTCGCAAGTAATGTTTACTAAATGGTAGAAAAATTTTAAAGGTAAATTTTCCGGCAGATTTTCCTGCAAATTTTAATCCGCAGGAAAAATAAAAAAAAATATTTAAATTTATAAGTTTAATATTTTAAAAAAACTTCAAGTCCCACATCTATTGAAAATAAAGCAATTAAAGAGTATATAAGTTGGGGTAACACTTACCTTACAAGTTGATTTATATGGTTGAATGTTAAGCTTATAATCTACAATCTTAGAATTTAAAAGATTATGTATCACATGTTAGAGGCATGGAAACAAATGCTTCGGATGAATTTATTATGAGCATTTGAAAGTTGAAAAATTATTGATAGAATTTATAGTAATTTCTTTAATTTTTTTCGTAAAAAATATTCCTGCATAATTTTTTGCGAAAAATTCCTGCGAATTTTAAAATTCACAAAAAATATTATCCATGAAGGTATTATCTGTAGATAAAATTTCGCAGGAAAATTTGCAAGAACAACGTTTCCTGCGAATTTTTATAAAAAATTTACAAGAAAAGTCGCATGTATAATAAGAGAAATTCAAGCAGTGAATTGCTGGAACACAAGCATCTTTTTTCTAGTAAAATTTGTTGTATACTATGTATTTAAAGGTTGATAAGTTGGTTGATTAGTCAAATCTATCATATTCGATATGATTACATATAATATAGCATGAAAGTGATTATTATAATCCGTCCTTTTAAAATTATTTCCTTGTTGATGATAATCCTTATAAATTATTATAATCCGTACTTTTTAGAATTATTTATTATAATCTTGTTGTTGATTTCTTGCTATTACATGCGAGTGGTCCTCTAGTAGTTTGTCTTCTTGGTTTCTTTCTAAGAAGATCACCATCAACAAGATAAAGCTTTTTTGTTTCATGATCACTAGTTTTATCTTCACTCTCACTAGAAGAGGAAGATGATGAAGACTCTTCACTATAAATGTCTTTACCCCTTAAGATCATGGTCTTTTTGGTGGGGCATTGAGAGGCAATGTATCCTCTCCCTAGACACTTAAAGCATTTGATCTCACTTGTCTTCGAACTAGTGTGTGGGGTGACCTTTTTCTTTTCCACATCTTTGTCCATTTCTTGAGTTTTAGAGGGGTTTTCTTTAAAATAATTTTTAAATAAACTCCCTTCCCTCTTGGAATCTTCCTTGAAATAAGATTTAGAATTGAGATTTTTAGAAGATTTTCTAAGAAGTTGTTGTTCCACCCTTATACAAAGTTGGACCAAGTCATCAAGGTCCCTATAAGGGAGTAACTCAACTCTATCTCTTATTTCAAAATTTAAACCACTCAAGAAACGTGCAATGGTCAATTTCTCTTCCTCCCTTATTCCAGCCCTCATTAAATACAACTCCATTCTTTGCCTATATTCTTCCACACTCATGTTCTTTTGTTGGAGTCTTTGGAGCTTTTCCATAAGCTCCCTACTATAATAAGAAGGTATGTGCCTTCTTCTCATAGCACTCTTCAAATCATTCCAATAGGTTATAGGAGGGTCATTATGAAGTCGCCTTTCTCTTACCAAGGCTGTCCACCAATACATAGCTTGTCCTTGGAAAGCTAAGGTGGCTAAGGGAACTTTTCTTTCCTCACCTACTTGATGACAAGTGAAGATTTGCTCCACTTTCATTTCCCAGTCCAAGTAGGCATCTACATCTTCTTTTCCATGAAAGTAAGGGAGATCAACTCTTGATTCCCTAAC